AAAGAAAGAAAGAAAGAAAGAAAGAAAGAAAGAAAGAAAGAAAGAAAGAAAAAGGCAAGAAGAGAAAGAAAAGAAAAGAAAAGAAAAGAAAAGAAAAGAAAAGAAAAGAAAAGAAAAGAAAAAGAAAAGGCAGTAAAGTCCAAATCAGCTAAAAGTAGTTTCACAATGATGAAGGCGGGAGAGGTAAGATGGAGATCAATTTGAACAACCACTTGCAGAATAAATACTTTGGCAGGACTAAAGAATTTCTAGTAGGTAAACTATGTGAACAACACTCTGCTTTTGGGAAAATAAATATTTCAACCACAATTTTTGACTAGCATACTGGAGGTTAAAATCTTTTTAAATAAACATTTGGAAAAGACATTTTAAAACTGTCTCATGGAGAAGTTCTCAAATTGCCTGAATACATAATCTACATTTATGACAAGTCTCTTCTCCTATTCTAAAGAAATACAGAAAGAATAAACCAGAAACTAAAAAGATCTGATTTGCCCACGGTGGGTGTGGGTGGGAAAAGGGTGGAAAGAAGGGAGCATGGGAATGGGGCAGTAGGAGGAAAGGATCCTTCTGAGTGTACAGTTGGTACCGTTTTAACTCTTAAAGCCAGAGGAATGCTCCACACATCACAAAGACTGTAAATAAGCAATTAAAATTAACCAGGATGTGGTGGAGTGGGGGAGGATACTCCAAATGGAATACAAACAGTAAGAAATGAACCTGTTTTATAAATTAATAACATAACCACACCAAATGGGGTAGGGATGAAAAAAATTAACCTAAATAACTTTGGAAAACAATATCTGTAACAGATACTATAAGGCTAACCTCAAAAGGAACTGCACAAAAATAATACAGTCTAATTTAATTAGTAAATCTGTTGTTTGTCACAGAGGTAGGAATTAGTAATTTTGAAATAATTTTATGTGTCTCCCAGAGTTGAACAAGTAAATATACTGTAGATAATGAGAGCCAGGTTTCTTTCTTTCTTTCTTTCTTTTTCTAAGATTTTATTTATTTACCAGACAGAGAGAGAGCAAAAGCAGGAGCAGTGGCAGGGGGAGAGGGAGAAACAGGCTCCCCGCTGAGCAGGGAGCCCTATGTAGAGCTAGATCCCAGGACTCGCGATCATGACCTGAGCCAAAGGCAGATCCTTAACTGACTGAGCCACCCAGGTGCCCCAAAAGAGCCAGGTTTCTCAGTGACTGAAGTAGAAATTATAAAAAAGAAAGGAAGAAGACTACAATGAGCCCTGTGGTATAGGAAAAGAATCAGAAGTATCAGTATGAACTCATGATTTTTAGTAGCCTAGATATACGGATAGCTAAGTACAGAATTAAATATGAACATGTGTGTGCATATGGATTGGCACATATAGTATATTCAGTCTACATGTGTCTGCTGACAAGGCCTAGAAATAATGGCACTCGAGGAGGAATAAGCATACCTAGTGCCCAAATACTGATTTCTAAATACCATTCTTAAATAAAAGAAATCTGAGCTTTCTGGAAAAGTGGCTGATTCCAGAGCTGGGACAGAGAAAATACAAGTCTTCAATGACTTACAGTGCCAAAAAATAAGAAAATGCTCCAAAAGGGGGGCATGGCTAAGACATAGGAGTCAACCTAAGAAGCCAAATAAGAAAATTTTGAACTGAGTTTCAAGGTATGAGTAGGAATCTGCCAAGTAAACTGTATGCAACATCATATATGAAGGCCAGGAATCATGAAATCATTGATTTCATGGCATAAAAACAACTATATGTAATTTAAGACCAGTGAACTATACGGCATAAAAGGTCAAGTGACAGAGAATGAGGGTGAAACGTGGAAGGGATATCATAAGAAGCTTCATACAGCTAACGAGTTTGAACTTTACTCAGTAGATGACAGGAATCTACAGAACGGTTTTAAGTAGGAGAGCAACATAAACAGGTATGCATTTTCAAAAGCTTCCTCATGAGTACTTTAAATGGGTAAGATTACATGTTTATTTGCTAAAATATAGCTTGTGTTTTATAATGGACAAAATATCATAATTGGAGAGATTTACTGAAAACACAAAACTGGTCAGTCATAAATCCTCAGTTGGCCAAAGAAATTATTCTAAATGCTTCCTGTGAAAGTGGAAAAAAATTGTAAATGGAATTCTTAATTATCAGAAAAGCATTAAGAGCCTCAGCTTGACTGCTACAAAGGCAGGAGCCTACTTGGTCCATTTTAATGATGAAAAATGAGTACTTGCAGCAGGGGCTCCTTTCTCAAACAGGCATATCCCTCACCTTATAAAATTCTCGGCTAGTGCAAAGTCTTGCTTCTTCTTTGTTCTATCTAAAAAACAGCCCAAGTGGTTTAGAAGCCCATGTCCATTTGCACTGTGCAGTGCCCAAGGCACAAAAGGCTGCCTGTTATTCTAGTTATCTCCTGGGGGTACCAATTATTAACTTTTATTAGGGCTCTGGTTACAAAGTTGCATAGCTTTTGAATGGTCTGTCCCTACTACTCCCATAAACCTATTCACTTCTAGGTATAATTTTGCAGAAAATAGGGTTTTTTCAGAAACACGAATAGAAATACCTCCATTTTAAAAACGGATGTCACTTGTAGAAGGGTTAAGAACATTAACAATTTACTGATTAGCTTTTAAAGAAGTATAGCCTCATTTAATCAAATAGTACACACTAGAATATTAAGGGATATAATTTTATATTATTTTCAGGTAACCTAAAACACTAACATAAAATGTGCCATAAAGATGGTAAAGGTGGCTATGAAATGCATAATGACAAGCGAAGAGGGAACTCCATTTACCTAACTAAACAAGCAATTTTAAATAGCAGTACTTCTCGGCTATCAACTGAGACACATCTAGACGTAAATATACTACACTGAGACATTCACTCACATCTACATATTTTTTTCAGAGGGAAAAAGAGTAACAGTATCCAGGAAACTGTGTAAACCACAATTTATTAATGAGAGAACTTACTAACATATGCCAATACTCTTAATTGCAATAGTAACCAATTATTTTAGTCTTTGTAGGTTCTAATATTTAGTTGTATTTTATTTTTGCATTTATCCATGGCCAGAGGAGCTAAAAAATAATTTGAGAATCTCTGTCTATATTGTAGATAAAGGGTTGGCAAAATTTTCTGTAAAAGGCCAGTAAATATTTTAGGATTTGTGGGCACACAGGATCTCTACCTCATATCTTTTTTTGTTTTTTAACCATCTTTTAAAAACAGACAAACCATCTTTAGTAAAGGAGCTGTACAAAACCAAACCACAGGCCAGATCTGGCCTTGTACTCCAGTTTGCCAATCCCTTCTATAGACGTGCAGATGAATGAGAACAAAACTAGGAACAATTCTAACGGCCTTGAGACCATGATAATCAAAGAGAGGCCAATAAAGTGATGAACCTGAAACTTGCAATAACACTTATTCATATTAACAGCTAAATAACAAAATTATAAATTCTATGTACGACAGCTTTTAATAAAAAACTCCTTTATTCTTCAACATATATAGTTGTTCTCATCATTAGTATTACTTGAGGAATGGAGTTCTGGGATACAACAAACATTTTTAAACTTCAGTATTTAAAAAATATATATTTCACTACATCAAAATTAAGAATTCCTGTTCAAACAGACACAAATGCGTAGCTGACTAGAAGATGATATGAGCAATATCAGTGGAATCACTACTGAGATTATATAAGGAATTCCTGAACATCAACAAGAAGTTGATTTTAAAAAGGTTAAAAGATACACAAGTAATTCATGAGATAAATGACTGACAATTTTATGAAGAAAAGTTTGACATCATTAGTTATAAAATAAATACAATTTTTAAAACTTACTACCTTACACCAATGGAATTGGTAAGATTTAGAGAGTGAGTAATAGGAAGGGTGAGTAAGAACACAGAGAGACATGATCTCTAATGCACCACTAGTAAGAGGTTATAACATTTATAGCCATTCTGGAGGTCAGGGAATACTTTATATATGTATGCTCTGAGTCAGTAGTCCCACTTCTTCTAAGTGTGTATATAGAGGAAACCCTAGTCAGAATACACATGGGACATGTCTGAAGATGTCCAACATCAGTGTTTAGGTTCAACATAGTCCTCTTAGTAGCAGGGAGCTGATGTGGCCTAGGAATCCAACACAAGTGGGGATAAGTAAAATTAATAGACAGATACTATGGAACGCTAAGAAGGAATGAGCTAATTTACATATATCAGAATAGATATAAAACAAGATTGAGTGAAAAAAAGTAAAAAAAAAAAAAAATGACATCCATACCATTATACTACTTATACACATGTACACTATATTAACAGTCTGCAAGAGCTTATAGTAAACACATGACAGTGGCTGTTTATTAGGGACAGAGAGAATAAGACTAAAATGGAAAGGGGGAAAACATCATAAAATAAAAACCAGATGAAGCCTTTCTGTTGACTCCTAATGACAACAGGTGATGAACCAAAGAGTATAATTAGCTCAGCTATATGTACCTGAATTAAAAAATAGTAAATAAAATTATATAAGCCACATTTTATTTTGCCTTTTAAAGAGACAATGTAAGAGATTTAAACTGCTAAATTTAGTACTGACTTACATGCTCATATTCTATAAAAACCATATTCTGTCCTGTCCCCCACACTCTATACCCTTTTTTCCTTAACCATCATTTCCTACCCTAAAAATATGTGGTGTGACTTATATCTCTATACCCTCCCAAAAGTTTTGGTTTAATTAAAATCAGAATACACCCATGGAAGCACAGCACATAAACATCACTCATTATGTAGAACAGACATAAAAAAGTTTAGCATTCTATCAGAAAATTATCTTATACTTTATTTTCCTTAAAGATAATTTTTACTATTAACCATTTCACACTGTATTATGATAAACACCACAAGAGGGAGCTTTGGGACAAATGTTCCATCTACTAAACACTGATGTATGCAAAAGATGGACACAATGATATACATATCTATGAATAAGACCAAAGAAGAAAGGAATGTTAAGTTTTAGTTGAGTAGACAGGGCACACAAACCTAGATACATGAAAATGGCCTATGAAATACAGCACAAATTCTAAATAAATAAGAACATTAGAAGACTGATCAGTCAGATTAGGATTATCAGGAAGAACTTTGTAAATGAGATAAAATCTGAGCTGAGCTTGGAAGAATAAAGAATGCTGATGAAGGTAGTATGATCTATAAAGGTGAATGTCACATAGGTGTAATGAATAAGAAGCAAGGAGAAAAGAAAATCAGCTTAATTAAAAATAAACATCTTGATAAGATATTTTTGTTAAGAAATACGATTAGCTACATAAGCATACTGGAAGGTTATAAAAACTATACAAAAGATAGTATCTAGTTTGTTGTCAACACACACTAACATTAAAGAGTCTGATACATATAAATCACCCCCTAGATCCAAAAGAGAAATACAAACAAACAAAAAACAAAAACAACAAAAAAAACCATGGTTCCTTCCCATTAGGAACTACTGCCAGGAATTATATATATACTTAAAGAGAAAAAGAGAAGAGATATGAATTTTGCAACAAAAATAAATCAACATCATAATTAGCTATGAGGTTAAAACTACTGAATCTATTAATTATAATGTGAATTGTTCAACAGGTAAAGTACACAATAGATGATATTCCTAAATTTATTCAATATGATTGGTGCAGACAGGGTTGGTAGGAGACAGTAACATAAACTTCTTACCTTAGCTTTTTTCTTTTTAAAGGAAAAATACAGAAATAATAATGGTGATGGAAATAATACCCATGTACCTTAATTTATATTTTGTGTCCTATTCTTCACCTGGATCATTTTGCACATGAACTACTTTTAATTGCTAGCAATTGCTTGTCACCATTCTACAGGGAGATACCTAGGTTATCTGTATTCTTCTCTTGTATTTACCAAATCTAGTACTATATAGGAAATAAAGCACTCTGTAGCTAGATGAATGATCAGTATTAAAAAAAAGTTTTATTTTAAGTCACTACATAGCAAAACTAAACTTATCTTTGTTTAAAACTATAAAGTCAAGATTTGAAGTTTCTTTCATTTTTTTTTTAAAAACTAGCATTTTTTTTTTTACTTGCTTATTACTTACTTCATCCATCTTCATACATGTGCCAAAATCTGCCAACTTTAGATGTCCATGTTTATCCAAGAGCATGTTGTCAGGCTTTACATCTCTGTGAATTAAGCCCATGGAGTGTATGGCATCCAGAGCAAGAACAACTTCAGCAGTATAAAATTTGGCCCATTTTTCAGGTACATCATAGTTACTCATAAGGTTTACAAGATCTCCACCAGGCATGTACTCCATTACCATGTACAGATACTTATCATCTTGAAAAGCACAAAAGAGCTGTAAAACAAAATGAGAAAGGAAAAAAAAAATTTAAGGAAAAAAAAAAAACCCAAAGCTTAAATGGAACAAAACCCAAAACAATTATTACTACTGAAAAAGACAAATAATTTTACAACCAAAAGAGCTGAATTTTATGAAACCTTTTTGATTTTATATTTGGACATCCCTAATGGAAAAACAGGTATCAGACAAAGCTTTTTATATAGTTAACTTCCTCATGCTGAAAAATATACATAAATGAATCATTTTCCCTCTTAGAGAATATGAGAATCTATTTAAATAGAGATATTTTGAAAGAGAAACAGAAGGAGGGACGTAAACGGTGAAAGAATGACAGAAGAATTCATAATTTAAAAAAACAGCTTTCTGAAAACAAAATAAGCTACTGCACATAATTCACAAAAAAGAAAGCTGAGGGGGTAAGAGCAGTTGCGAAAAACCTCAAAGATACCACATTCAATAGATACGAGAAGAGGGAGTAAGCACCACGAGTGGAAAAGAGTGTGCTGCGGGTAGCCACACTTCGAACAGGGCCTTCTCCTCTCTCCTGTTCCCCATCATCTTGCTCATAAGCAGCTAGTGGCGCGCAGACTAGAGCAGCGGCACTGGGACCAGAGAAATCACACCAAGCGAGGTTGCTAATGACTCCCCAGAGGCATGGGAACCACAAATTCAGAAGAAAAGTTATTTGTACAGTCCACCCAACATGTCCCAACCCACCCCCCAGAAGCAAGCAATGCAAACAGAAAAGGTTTCCACAAACAAACAGGGAAAACATAGAACAAAACCAAGAACTCAGACTCAAAATAAATAAAAAGAATTCCTACAAATCAATTCTTTTAAACCAACAGACAACCTAATAGGAAAATGAAGAAGAATTAAAGCAGGCATTTCACAAAGGAAGATATTCAAAGATGAAAAGGTATGAAATCTCATTAGAGAAAGATGAATTTAAACCTCTGTGAGACACCACTTTGCATGCACAAAAATGACCAAAAATGACCAAAAGTTTTAAAACTGATAATACCAAGTGCTGGCAGGGACAAAGGAAACTTACAAACTAAACTTCTATAACCACACTGAAAAACAAGCTGTCACCACCTACTGAGATTGATTATAAGTACCCAAAAATGCTACGCCTAGGAATAAACCCAACAGAATAAAAAACATTTACACTACTTGTAACAAATAAAATTTTGAAATATACCAACAAATTGTGGTATATACATGCAACGGAATAAAACACAGCAATGAAACTAATAAACTGTAGCAATGTAGGTAACTCATGCCAACATAATGTTGAACAAAAAAGCTAGATACAAAAGAAGAGATACTGAATCAGTGACATCACTTATATAAAATTCAATAAACAGGAAAGCTATAGTTCTGAGTGCTTGTTTAGGTGGTACACTAGAAAGAAAAACAAGAAAATGATTACTAATAAAGTCAGAGGAGTGGTTATTTTGGGAGGAACACATGGAGGCAGTGATTGGGAAAGAGCACAAGAGAACTTCTGGAATCTGGCAATGTTTATTTTCTGACCTGGGAAGTAAATACATGGGTGTTTACTTTGTAATAAATCTTTCTGCTGCTTGTTTTATGTATTTCTCTGTGTATATCACAAATAAAATCATTTTTTTAAAAAAAACATGATAAAATTAAAGCAGAACTCAACAGGAAATTTATAACTACAAACGCATTTGTAGGTATCTCTCCTTAACCTTTCACTACCCAATATTCAAACAGATATCTGCATTGGAAAATAAAGACTGACAATAAAAATTAGGTAGATAAAGAAACTCAGATAAAGAAACTAGAAAAGAAAAATATAAACCCAAAGAAAACAGGAGATAGGGAATTTTTTTAAAAGCAGAAAATAATTAAAAAGAAAAGCAAAAAAAAGTATTTTTTAAATAAAACAAAAAAATGTTAACTAAAAAATTTACATATACTCCATTCAATAGAAAAGTCAAAGAGAAGACAGATATGGTCGCAGAAAATAGAAACTGACTCAAGAGAGAAAAACCTGAATTAGTCAAAAATCACATGAGAAAATAAGAGGTTGACAGAAGATCTAATTGGGAAGGACGAATGGAGGGATTGAGCACAGAAAAAACATATACGAGTTTTAGGACAGCAGCTATCTCTCAGAAGGAAAAAAGGGAGAAAAGACTGGGTAGGAGAACAAAAAGTATTTCAAGAATTCTTGCAATGTTTTCAAAATTAAAAGCTTAAAATTAACGATGGAAAAATGTTAAAATTTGCTAAATGTATGTAAGGTTGAAACCAAAGAACGTTTCCAGATGGCTTATTTATTAGGCAAGCAAGAAAAGCCATTCACCAATGGTGAATTAATTAAGTTGTGTTTGATTGCATCAGCTGAAGAAACGTGTCTAGAGAAAATCAACGCAAGACTCTCAGTCTTTCAACGACAGCTGCTCAAAGAGTTGAGGACACCGGTGGCAGTATCAGTAGTCAATTTAAAAACAAGGCAAATGATTTCGAGTGGTTTTCCTCGGCTCTTAATGAGTCAACAGATGTTACTGGTATGCAGTCATTACCAGTTACTGGAGGAGTAAGTGCCAAGTTTGATGTGAGTAAAAAATAAGCCTCTATAGTCTGCATAGATGAACTCAGGCAAAAATATTTTCAAAGAAGTTGAGAAAACACTAATTCAGTACAACCTGAAGTAGAATCTGGTAAGGTGTTTTAACAAAACATGGGGGTAAAAATACATGTGGAACAGAAGAAGGCTTCATTGGACAAATTTACAAAGCTTGTGAAAATGTGTGATATTTAAAATCTATAGTTATTCTCTGTAATACTGATCAGTAAGTACTCAGAGGAAAATACATTTGAATCCCTCATAATAATAAATATATGAGTAGTATTAATGGATGTTATTTGCTCTTGTGGACTTAACCATCATCATCTGTTCTGTGAATTTTTGTCAGAAATAGATGCTGAACATCCTCACGCTACCATACAGCAGTTCAATGGCTTAGCACTGGTAAAGTTTTATTGCAATTACTTGAGCTGAGAGTTGAGACTGAAATGTGTCTGATCAAGACCACCCTCAACTACTATTATGGAACACTGAATAGCTTTCTAAATTAGCTTTAGCCGCAGACTTGGTAACGTTTCTTAATTAATACAACCTAAAATGACGAGGTAAAATAGTGCTTTTTAAAAAGATTTTATTTATTTATTTTAGAGAGAGAGTACACACAAGAGAGAGCATGCACAGGGGAAGAGAGAGAGGGAGAAAGAAGCCCAAGTAGACTCCCTACAGAGCTTGGAGCCAGAGGTGGGGCTCGATCCCACCATCCTGAGATCATGACCCCAGCCAAAATCTAGAGTCAGATGCTTAACCAAATGAGCCACCAAGGTGCCCCACAAAACTTAAGCTTTTAATAACAACTAACATCAAGCTACTTTTTATGCTTCCCACGCTATTAAAATCAAAACAAGAAGTGAGATCTCCACTCCTACACAAATTGGCAATGGATGTATTTTCTGAGCTCAAATGACAGTCTCACAGTTCCAACAGCGTTTTTTTGACATGAATGTAAATGCAAAGCAAATATCCATGTTTCAAAATCCATTTAAACTCTTCAACTGAGGGCCACCTGGGTGGCTCAGTAGGTTAAGTGTCTGCCTTTGGCTCAGGTCATGATCCCAGGGTCCTGGGATCGAGCCCCACATCGGGCTCCCTGCTCAGTGGAAAGCCTGCTTCTCTTTCTCCCTCCACTGCTACCCTTGCTTGTGCTCTCTCTCTCAAATAAATAAAATCATTTAAATGAATAAACAAACTCTGCAACTGAGAAGCTTCTGCCTAACCTTCAGTTGGAAGTGACCAACCTGCAATGTAATGACTTTTCTAAAAGGTAAATATCGAGACAAGAATTTAACAGGATTCTATATACGTCTTCCAAGTGATAAATATGCTTAATCAGAATCATATGCTCAAGGTCAGCATCAACAGTTATAGATAAAGTACTGGTATATACCCTGGGTACATGATGAAAATGGCACTTTCCCTCTATAGTCTTTCTCTAAAAACTCATAACCCTAGTCTAAATAATGAGAAAAACATCAGACAAATTCTAATAGAAAACTATACACATCCTAAATATAACTGACAAGTAATTCTAAAAGCTGTAAAGGTCATTAAAAACATGAAAAAGTCTGAGAAACTGCCACAGCCAAGAGGAGCCAAAGAAGATAGGATAACTAAATGCAACATACTATCCTGAATGGGATCCTAGAACAGAAAAAAGAGCATTAGGTAAAAACAAGGAAAATATGAATAAATTATAGACTTCAGTTAATATAATGTATCAATATTGGTTCATTCATTATAACAAATGTACCTTACTAAAGTACGATGTTAATAGAGGAAGACTGTCCGGGGTTGGGGCTCTCCACTATCTGCTCAATTTTTATATAAATGTAAAACTGTTTATTTTTTTTAATTTTATTTATTTATTTGACAGAGAGAGACACAGCAAGAGAGGGAACACAAGCAGGGGGAGTAGGAGAAGCAGGCTGCCCGCGGAGCAGGGAGCCTGATGCGGGGCTCGATCACAGGACCCTGGGATCATGACCTGAGCCGAAGGCAGATGCTTAACAACTGAGCCACCCAGGCACCCCAAATGTAAAACTGTTTAAAAATTAAGTCTATTAATAAAAAATAAATCATATGCCGGTGGGTAACAGTATTTGGCAGTACCTAACCTATGTGAAAAGACATTTTCTAATAAGATGAATGTGTAAAAAAACCTTATTACACATTAACATTAACAGAACATCTACAATTTTGATAGGAAACACTGATTGTGAACCCCAATTAAAAGTGCTATTGCCCCCAGAAAATAAGTTAATTATTCTCCTTAATAGACTTGTATTTTTTTAAGTTGTACTTATTATCACATTTTAAATTTCATCAATAAAAAATTTATAGAAATTTGTTTTCTTGTTATATAAGTTATCAACAT